GACGTATGATGATAGGGTGGAAAAAGCCCTGGATAAGAAGTCAGAGGAATTGAGTTCAAATCTTGCCTCTGTTACTGCCTTGTGACCTGGGGCAAGTTATTTAACTACTTTGGCCCTCACTTTCTTCTACTGTAAAACATGTGATTTGAAACAGTTCCCAATGTCTCTTCCAGCTCTAAATCCATGATCCTATTCATTGGAGGGGGCACAGACTTATCTTCCTTAGTTCAAATCCAGTCTCAGACTCTTATTAATTGTGTGACCTTGAACAAGTCACTTAACTCTGTTTGCCTCAGTTTCCTCATCTGTTGAAAATGTGCTGGAGAAGGAAATGGCAAACCTTTCCTGTATCTTTGCCAAAAAAAGTCAGACAAGACTGAAAAATGACTGAACGACAACAATAACGACATTCATTGGAGGTGTTTAGATTGGAGAAGAGAAGACTTGGAGGTGAAATGTTAACTTTCTTTGAGAATTTGAAGGGCTCTGCTATAGAAGAGGGACCATCCTTGCTCTGCTTGGTCTTGGAGGGGTGAACTAAAAGTAGTGGGGAAAGAGTTGCAGAAAGGCAGCTTTCACCTTGATGTCAACATGGCAGGAGCACGGAGTGATCTACCCACAATGCAGCTTCTCCGATCTTTCACCTAGACATGGGGATACCTACTTAGTCTCTGGGCTGGTTATTTCACTCCCATCTAGCTTCCCATCGACGAACTACTGCTTTGTTGGTACACTAAAATGCTCTTGAAGTCCTAGAGGTCACTCTATTAAGGGACAAATCCACTCTTCCTATAGACCGCTCTAACTATTTAGCCCTCACTGGTACATTTTTCTTTTTTTTTTTTTTTTTGCTTATTTTCTTTTTTCTTACTGTTGAGCAGTGGGGGTTAAGTGACTTGCCCAGGGTTACACAGCTGGTAAGTTTCATGTGTCTGAGGTGGGATTTGAACTCAGGTACTCCTGACTCCAGGGCAGGTGCTCTATCCACTGAGCCACCTAGCTGCCCCCTCACTGGTACATTTCTATTTGACCAATCAGTCACTCAGAATGAAATTTCTAGATCTTTAGCAGATTTGACCTAATAGTAAGGCAAAAGAAATAGTGATGATGATATTAAAGGGACTCATATTTGAAAGCTGGTAAATACATCACAACCCACACATAAACCTGGCTCACACACTCACACAAAAACAATCAGTATCTATTGTCAAGAGTGGACACACAATTACAGAAATATGCCAAGGAGGCACATAAACAAGGAAAACTCACGTGCCCAAGGTAACAGAACTTTAGAACTATAAAATGCAGTGTGTTCTTTCTGCCTCAGGATCTGTTCAGAAAAGTTATTTGATGAGTGTAATTTCTGTGTTGAAAATTTATTTCAGCTACTAAGTTCAGCTGAAACTGTACTTTGACCAATACCTTACTGGGCAACATTTCAGTCAATGTAGCGGATAAAGTTCTAAAACCTGTCCTTCCCCTCCCCCTACAGTCTCTCCCTCTCTTTTTCTTCTCTCTGTCTCCATCTCATTACATTTCTGTTTTGGGTTAGACTATGGTCAAATTGATTATATTTGTCCCATAATAATACAACAGCTCTGGTTTTCATATTTTGCTAGATGTTGACCTAAATGTTGTCCTACTCACTGAAATTCATTGTGTTTTCCATTTGCTCTAAACTTCACAAGCTTGTTACCATCAAAACGCAGCAACAAACAGCTCAGAATTTAATCAGAGAGCCACTTCTTGAATAGCTGTAGCTCTCATAGGTCTCTGAACAGGCTTAACTCAGCAACAAGCACACAAGCATTTGTTTATCAGATGTTTACTGTGTTCCAGGCACAGAGCTAAGGGCTGGGGCTACAAAGAAAGGCAAGAAAGCCTTTGACCTCAATTTGTTTACCATCTAATCCTAATACAACAAAACTGAAAAGGACAGTACAATAAGCAAGAGAAGCTTCCTGAGAATTAGAATTAGCCGCCAGGGTAACAGGTTTCCTGGTGATGTGTGGGAGAGGTGGCTGCTCCTAACCAAAGGTTCTAGGGCAGGGTGGCCACTTGTCACTGATGCTGGAAAGGAGCTTGGAAAGGGCACTGGTTGGATTAGATGTCCACTAGAAATCCTGAGATGCTGTACTTCTGAGCCTCTGGGCTCCTAGACGCTGGACCTTGTAATCTCAGGGTAAGGACAGGATTGGTCCCGTTCTCTACCAGCCTGATTCTGCTTTGGATTCTCAGGGTTGGCCTCTCTGACAGTACCATTTTTCCCCTCTACAGATCCTAAAGCCTTGGACATATATGGTTTCTTCTTACCATGGATTGGTGAGTGGGATTCCTCTGCCTCCCCTAACACTCCAACCCCCCTTGGGTAGGAAGCAGAAGTGCAGGTCTGCATAGTGGGATACCCGGGGATGACAAAAGAAACAGGAGTATCCAACCACTTCTTCCTCTCTCTCCCCATCACACACTCTTTCAGCCCTTACCCCACCCCTAGGCCTAGCTCTGTGCCAAATCCTGGGCATGACCGGGCAGAAATCGGGCTCTTGCTTTCTAGGCGTTCCTAGTCTACCTGAGAAGGTAAATCACACTTCTGCCATCTTCCTTAAATGGGAACTCAGGAAACCTGGGTCCTAGCTCTGGCTCTGCCCCCACACAATCATTTGGTCTTAGGCACGACTCCTCCCCTCTCTGGATCTTTGTCCTCCATTATAATAGAGGAATAATAACACATCCTCTGGTCCTTACAGGGTGGCTATGAAGAGAGCCGCCTGTATGACCTCTTGAAGAATGATAGCTGTGTGAAATGTTATCAGCACGATCTGTCAAATGATCATACCAGGCTGCAGTATATCCTGGGGCCCAGCCCTCTTCTGCTTCATATTTCACCTCTCGTCATTTCTGTGACACTATGTATGCTTTCTTGGGACCATCCTATATCTCTTCTCCCTTTCACAGCCACAATTACCATCTTTACTCACCTTTTAACACCTTGCAATGGCTTCTGACCCTTTCACCCTGTTGAATTTTCTCCAAAATTACCAATGATCTCTTCTTAAATACTCTATCCAGTGACCTTTTTTCTATCCTCATCCTTTTAGATTTCTCTGCATCTTTCTTGACTGTTGACCACTCCCTCCCTCTGGATATTCTTTCTTTCCTTTGAATCTGTGCCAATACTCTTTCCTGGTTCTTCTGCTCCTTCTCTGATTACTTCTTAGTTTCCTTTGCTGGATTATCATGCAGCAAAGTATGCTATTTTTTCAACAAATATTCAGCAAATATTTGTTGAATTGTATTGAATTTGTGGTTGCATCAGGTCTCTAGTTTGACACTGTAAAGCAGATTTAAACATTCAATCAATCATCAATCATTTATTAAGGCCTTACTACAAAGATACAAAGATAAATGTGAAGCAGCCCTTGTCCCAGGGAACTTACATTCTTGGGGGTGCAGGGAGCAACATGAACAAGGCAAGTAAGTATGAAGTGTAATTTCCAGTGGTGACGGAAGACCCCCTAGGAGCTGGGGACGGGGAGTGGGGAGGTAGCAGGGATCTTTCCAGTCTTCTTTTTCACATACTACTTGCATTCTGGCCCAATTTCTTTCAGCATTTCTCTGTATGCGCCATTCTATGGCCAATCCTTGACTTTGGCAGGGGTAAGGTTCCTAGAAAATGGTTCAAAAGTAAAAATTGCAAACGTTGAATTGAATATATGGGAAATAAGGGCTAAGGTTCCTTTGTAAGTAAAAACTGTAATCTTTCATCAGAGATTCCTGAAGATTTGCTTTTCTGCCTTTAATTCTCTATAACAAAACATTAATGCTGATAATATGCACTTTCTGGAGCAAGTTTGTGAACACTTTTCTGAATGCTTTCTTCCTTTTTGTGGATCTCACAAATGGTTGATTCATTAAGACCAAACTGGGGACTGGCAGCAGCTGCAGACATTCCAACATGAAGGTTATCGAACTTTTATTTTCTCAGTGAGCCACTTCACTGACTTTGCACACTTGGCCTTAGAGCCCAAAGAGCTTGCACAGTGCTTTGGGGGCAGGATTGCAACACAAAACTTGAGTGTTGAAGACAAACAATGAAAGTATGCAATGAATGCTTGAGGAGCTCTTTACAATGGTAGAGTGAACAATACTAGTGAAGTGCCTAGTAGGGTACCAGCTGCTCCACAAACCTGCATGCATCACACCTCTCAGTTTTTCTCTACTGTGCATAGCTGTGAATGTGTGTAGTTGTCAACACAAAAGTGAAAATAAAGTTACTAATAAAATCCCGTGAATGCTTGAAGTCATGAAAGTTAAAAGCGTGAATGCTGAGGATTGACTGTGTCTCTATGCCTTAGCATAAGCTGGCTCTAGTGCCTAGAAAACTTTTTCTCCTCACCTCCAGCTCTTGGAATCCTCAGCCTCCTTCATAACTAAGCTTCGCTGACACCTTCCATGGGAAGGCTTTTCTGGTCCTCCCATGGGTTATTCCTCTCCTCCCATTACCTTGCACTTACTTTTCCCAGTATACTCCCAGTCCATTAGATTGTAAGTTCCTTGAGGGCAGGGACTGTCTTTTGCCTTTTTTTCATCCCCATTGCTTAGCAAAGTGCCTGACACATGTAGGTGTTTAATAAATGTTTGTTGATTAATTAATTGGTATTTCTCACACCGCCCAGGAGAATGTGAATCCCTCAAGTGTGGAGACTTGGAGGGGTCACTGTGGAGAGAACATAAGGGTTTTTGTTCTTCTATCCCTGTGGTGCTGTGCATTCCAATATTCCTCCCAACTCTAGCATTCCCTTTTATATATTCCAAAGTTCCTTCAAATTTGAACATTCTGTGTTCTGTGGCTCAAGATAATTCCCAGCACAACCTTAAATCTCCCCAGTGAGATCTTATTCCATGACTAACATTTTCAGTATACTCCTTCAATTTCAATTTTATTGAGGACTGACTGTGTGCTTCCAGAAGTGGGGAGGGGCTCGTTGTCCCTCTCCAGGTTCCCATGTGGACAGGAAGTGACTGTCCCGATGAGGAGGCGTTGCTTTCTCATGTGTTCTCCCTCCTAACCCCAGGGAAGGGGCTATTGGTCTTGGATGGGCCCAAGTGGTTTCAGCACCGGAAATTGCTTACCCCTGCCTTTCACTCAGACGTACTGAAGCCATATTTGGATCTTTTTGTTGAGTCTACCAAAGATATGCTGGTGAGAGTCTCCTCGAGGCCTTGCTCTAATCCTTGTCCCTCCCCTAGGGGATAAAACTAAGGCTTGGGCTAGGTTGGAGGGGAACTTAGGTTGGGGCCTGTAGTTCTACGCTGGGCAGAATGTCCTTCAGAATAAATCAGAGAAAGAAACTGGGCAGTTGGGGAAAGGATACGGAAAGCGGGGTAAGCCCTGGGAACAAGCCCTGTGAGTCTATAGGTCTTGGGGTGGAAAAGGTCTTTGATTTCCTGTCTTTTTCAGAACAAATGGGACAAGAAGATTCAGAAGGACAAGTGTGTGAACATCTTTCCAGATGTGGGTCACATGGCCCTGGACAGTCTGATGAAATGCATTTTTGGAAGGAGCAGTAACAGCCAGACACAGAGGTTAGGGAAAGGGCCCTGACTGTCCTGGAGAGCTGCCTTTACCTGGCCCTTAGGGAGAAAGCCCCTGGTCTGAGAGTTGACACAGCCCTGTTTTGGAGAGCCCCTTTTTTGGGGAGGAGGGACACAAGCCCCACAGTGAAACATCACTGAGGTCCAGATGGTAAGGGTCCTGATGCAAGATATTGAAGTTTGTGTGCCACCTCGCCCCTTACGGAGCTTAGTTTTCCAACGTGGCTAGGTCAAGTAGGGGAGGGAATGGCTACTGAAGATGCCAAAAGACAACCGTCCCCTCTTATCTCCCCACCACATTGCTTCAGTTCTTCCTTTTATTGGCTCCTGCAGTGACATCATATACTATGACGCCATCAGGGAACTCACCTTGTTGATGCAACAGCGATTGGCAGCCTTCCAGTACCACAGTGACTTCTACTTTTGGTTCACACTTCATGGCTGGAAGTTTCTTCAGGCCTGCAAGGTTGCTCATGATTACACTGGTGTGTCTCCAGTCTGCAGTTGCCCTTCTTTTATCCTTCCTTCTCTCTCTCTCCCTCTATTTCTCCCTTCCTTCCTTCTTTTCTTTCTTCCTTCTTTCCTTCCTCCCTTCTTCTTTCTCTCTTTTCCTCCTTCCTTCCTTTATTTTTTCTGTACTTCTTTCTTTCCTTTCTCCTCCTCATAGGCCCTACTACCAAGTCTACCTATTTGGTATCCCCAAGGGTTATTCCTCATTACCTTCCATGAAGTGCAGCCTTTTTGTGACCCTGTGGCCTTCTGTCCTCTACCCCATCCCTAACCAAATCATGCCACGTGACTCTTCCATTTGAGGTAGGAGGCAGTATTTCAGAGAATCACAGAATCTCTGAGTTGGAGGAGACACCAGAGAGCATGTAGTACAACCTCTATCTGAGGAGGAAACCTTACTACAACATTTCCAACAAGTAGTTACCTAACCCCTGTTTCAGGATGTCAAAAGATAGGGAACACACTAGTACTCCAGGCATCTCAGTTCCACCTTTGGACAGCTCCAATTTTCCAGAAGTTTTTTCTTATACCAAGGACAAATCCGCCTCTCTGAAATTTCCACCAGATGGTCCTGGCTCTGCTTTCAGAGGCTGAGAAGAATAAGCCTAATTTCCTTCCCACCTGATAGCCATCCAAAAACTTGAACACATGGCCACCCCTCCTAGAAATCTTCCCTTCTCCAGGCCAAACATCTTTACTCCCTTCAATTAATCCTCATATCTCATAGTCTCAAGGTCTTTCGTTAGTCTACTCCTCCTTTTCTGAATGCTCTCCTGCTTATCGATGTCCTTACTACGATGTGGTGCCCAGAACTGAACCCAGTCCTGCAGATGAGATCAGAAAAGGCCAGCAGATAACAGAACTATTAGCTGCATCATTATGGCCTTTATGCCTTTCTTGAAGCAAACTAAGATCACATCAGCTTTTCGTTAGCTGCTCTGTTATTGTCTCAACTCTTACAGTCTTTTTAGCTCCCTCAGGCACTCAGATCTTTTTCAGATGAACAGGATTCTCTCACCCATCTTGTAATTGTAAAGTCGATATTTTTGAACCAGAGCATACAACTTTACATTTATCTATCCTTATCAAATTTCATTTTCTTATATGTGGTTTAGCATTATATCCTTTGGAGATTTTATTTTTTGGTTTTTATCTCTATGGCCAAATGTTGGTAAGCTATCTTTCTCAGCTTTGTGATATCTTTGTGTTTAATAAGCAAATTATTTAGATCTTTATCCAAGTAACTGATAAAACTGTCAAAAAGTACATAGTTGACTGGAGAACAGATTTCCAGGGTAGTCTATCTGAGATTTCCCTCAAGGTTGATACTGAGGCATTAATAATGACTACCCTTTGGATTCGGCCAAAGTGGGGCTATCCAGTGTTGCTAGCATCAAGTCCATTTTGCCCACAAGAAAAGTATGGGAGACTTTTCCAAATGCTTTATTAAAATTTAGACCAACCATATCTGTAGCATTCCCTGAATAAACCAGCCTGGTAATACTGTCAAATAAGGAAATGAAGCTACTCTGGCATAACCTGTCCTTCATGATCTCACATAGGTTTTTTTTTTTATCATCACCGCTACCTTGCTAAAAAACAATAAAATGATTTAGGTATAACTTTCATTTTTTTTTACTAGACATTTTCTAATAGTCTTCATTACTGGGTGTTTTCTAGTAATATAGGCGATTTGTAGTTATAATCCTTCCTCCCATCCTCAGTCTTTACCACCTAGAATTCTGTGCTGATATATGAGAAGAAATACACTTAAGCAAAAGATGGCTGCATGTGACAGTATATGCAATCTTATTTCCTTGTGGTCCTTAATCTTTCTGCCAAGAGAAGTGTCATATGAATCATTACTTGTTCTCAGAGAACAGGTAATGATTTTTGTTGACACTTCCTTAGGGTTTGCCTTCCTTTTTATGAACTTTCCATTTTCATTGTTGTAGTCATTGTGCATATCATTCATTTGTTTCTACTTATTTCTTCATACAAATCTTCTGATGTTTCTTTGGCTTCCTCATATCTGTCATTTATTACTGAATGAGGACATTTCGTTATATTCACATGCCACCTTTCCTAGCCATTCTCTAAATGATGGGCTCATTTTGTTTCCAATTCTTTGTGAGAAATAAAAAAGGTGTGGCTATGACTATGTTAGTATACATTGGAACTGTATTTCTGTCTTTGACATCCACGAGCTATCTACACCGTAGTGAGAACACGTGGTTAAAGGTTATGAATGATTCAGTAACTTTTATTGTTCAATTCCACATTGTTATCCTGAACTCCCTGAAAGCTTAGAACTGTTTTAATTTGCATTTCTCCAATCGTTACCAATTTGAAGTATATTTCTAAATAGATTTTTAATAATTTATTTCCATGTTTAAATCTTCTGATTCTTTATTGGTTGAAAAATGGCTCTTGGTCTCACAAATTTATGTCAATTCCCTATAATGTCTTGGATATCAGACTTTTATCTGTTACAGCTGATGCAAAAATTTTCCCCATTCAGTAGTTTCTCTTCTTATTCTATCTGCCTTGACTTTATTTGTGTGAAAGATTTTACATTTTATTAATAAAAGTTATTCGTTTTGTCTTTTAGGTACACTTCCATCTCTGCATGGCATAAGGGCTAGAGAGCTATCCTTGAAGCCAGGAAGAGATGGGTTCAAATCCCACCTCTGACATATACTTGTTGAGTGATTCTGGGCAAATTACTTAACCCCTCAGTGTTCTAAGTGACTCTTCAGGACTATATATAAGTTACCTGAAAGAGCTGATCTGTATGTTATAGGGAATTTTTTCACCCAGGAGTTCCCTGAGTTTTATACCAATGAAATCACAGGTCTATTCCATGATTGTGACAGTTTCTCTCTGTGTCTCTGTCTCTGTCTCTTTCTTTTTTTCTCTCTCTCCTCTCCATGTAAATATATGTGTGTGTGTGTGTGTGTGTGTGTAATTCTATATTATTTTATATTTAAGTTGTATATTCACTTGTAGCCAATTTTGGTTTATGGTGCAAGGTTCTGGTATAAATCCACTGTTTATTTATATATATATATTTTGTCTAGATGTTTACTACCCGTACATTTATATATGAAGTCAAGCTGGCTTTTAGTTAAATTCAGTCCAACAAACATTTGTTTAAGAATTATAGCTTCTTTTTCTAAATAGTCACAAAATACCTTGAATATTATACTGAAATTCCAACAGGAAACATTTAACTAATGAGTCTGTTCCCCTCCCCCACCCCATTTTTTCCAAATAACGCTACCTGGTTCCTTTTTTCTTAAAATCAGGACCACATTTGACTATTCTCCAGTTCTGTAGCATTTCTTCTGTTTTCTCTGATCTTTCTAAGGCCACCAATTATGACACAGCTGCACATCCACCCATTCTCATGTAGACCAGGTGACACATAGGAACTCATTGTGGTTCTCTTCATACCATTTCCACACTAATTTTAGTTTTCATCTCCCTGTTGATATTTTTTTATTTTATCCTCTTTACTGGGAAAAAGAGTTCTACATATGAATGAAAATCGAAGCTAAAACAATGGTTGAATGGATCTGTCCTTTCTCTCCTCAGTTAGTCATAGCCATTGCCACCTTGGACAGTGGAGTTTTCTGTCCCTTGATCTTACTTTTCCTCTTTTTTATGTCCTTAGTTTTCTTCACCAGTTGCAGCTCATCCTGAAATAATTAATAATAATAATAACAACAACAATGGCTAACATTTATATATCATTATAAAGTTTGCAAAGCCAATGTATATATGCCTATTTACACACACATATACATATATACATATGCACACATATATGTGTATGTGTGTGTATACTTATCCTAAAATTTGGTCCTTACAACCACCATAGGTCCTCTTATTATCCCCATTTTACAGATGAGGAAGCTAAGTCTGAGAGAAGTTAAATGTCTTAACTGGAGTTACACAGTTAATAAGAGTCTGAAGCCCAATTTGAACTCAGGCACTCCAGACACCAAGTCTGACACTCTATTCACTGGGCCACATCTCTGTCTAATTTGACTCTGTTCTTTAGGGCAATGAATTTATGTTCATCTCATCCTTCCACCATCTTTAATTTCTCTAATTCTTTAGTGTATCTATAATCTCATCAGCATAACTATTCCCTTCAAAGATGCCAGTCCCAACCTATGCATCGCAGCTGATCCTGCACATGTGTCTTAAATCTCAGTAAATTGATGAGTTCACTGTGTATCCACATTGGTTTACTTAGCTATCATTCTCCCTTTCCTCTTTATTAGAACTATTTCTCTTTTGCCTTCAGGATTCTATTCCCAAGAGCCTTCAATCCTTCTTGAGATAACTTCCCTTGTGTAATTTTAGGCCATGAGATTCTATTTATTTTTTATTTGAACCCTTTGAAATCTATTCTCTTTAAATCCAGGGATTGTCAGGCTATTTCTAGCTTTTGAGGACAAACTATAAAATGGAGTCAGAACTTTTCCCTAAGGTTTCCATCATTTCAACACAGAAGATGCTATGTCCCAGAGGGGAGGGGGACTCCTAGTTTCCTTTCTCTTGCCCATTTCCTTTTCTAGTTATAAAGTTCTTTGTCCACTTAAGTGCCTTTTCCTCTTGCTCAGTGGCTCCAAGAATTAGAATTCCTGATAGGAAGGCTCCTTTAGCCACTAAAGTAAGAGTTGGAGATTACTCCCAGCTGTGCTCTCAGCAGTGGTGAATTGTGAATAATTCATTGGAGTGAGGGCTTGGCTGAAGCATCTATAACCTCAAGACAGTGTATTTGGAGGAAAGAGCCTGGGTGGTGTCAGGAGACCTGACTCTTCCACTCACTCCATTTGATTCCATGACCTTGACTCAACTATTCCCATCACTAGGAATTATTTTCCCTTCTGCAAGTTGGGTGCTTGAACACATGACTTCTCTTGCCCTTTCCAGCACTAACACTGATTTCCTTGCACAGACAAGGTGATTAGGGCCAGAAAGGCTGCCCTGAAGGAGGAGGAGGAGCGGGAGAAAATTCAGGGGAAGAAACGCCTGGATTTCCTGGACATTCTTCTTGGGCCTGGAGTGAGTCTGAGGGCTTCTAAGGGGTAGATTAATCTGGGGTTCCGTTCAGTCAAAGCCAAAGTAAGTCTTTAGGGTGCTCCTTGCTCCAAGGAGTGTGTCTCCTGGTCCTGCTTCTGACCTTGCGCATTTAATCATTCATCAAACAGGAGAGGGGATCAGTGGGGAAAGGGACTGTCTATGCCCAAGGCTTCCTGGGGTAACTTGAACTTGACTTTGATTAGTACAGAGGATTCAGATAGGCAGAGTGAAAAAGGATCCAATATATTACAGTAGAAAGGGTGCTGGATTTGACATTAAAAGCCCTGGGTTCAAATCCTGATTCTGACACTCACCACCTGTGTGGCTTTGGACAAGTCACTTCCCCAATGTGAGCCTCACTTTCCTCCTCTGTAAAATGAGATTTGGCTCAAAAGTCTCTAAGCTCCCTTTCACTTCTAAATCCTATGCATAAGAGGGCAATTCAGGTAGGAAAATGGTCCTTCCTCCAGCCCCATCAAAAAAGAAGATCCCATTTCCCTCCTATGCAGGTCCTTTTTCTCCTATTTAGCAGCTCTTATTGAGGAGAAGTTCTCCCTGAAATCTACCTTGAATCCCTCCTATTTTGTTCTCCATGCATTTTTGTTACCTCCGTTCCTTCCTGAAGGATGAGAGCAATACAAAGTTGTCAGATGCAGACCTACGGGCTGAAGTGGACACTTTCATGTTTGAGGGTCATGACACCACCACCAGTGGCATCTCCTGGTTTCTGTACTGCATGGCCCTCTACCCAGAGCACCAGCAGCTATGCTGTGAGGAGGTCCAGGACATCTTGGGAAATCGTGACACCATCCAATGGTGAGCCCTGGGCCTGCTCTGTCTTCGGTTCTCAAATTTCTGCCTGAGAAGTATGCCAGGGGATGCAGGGATCCTGTCAGGACCTGCCCTGCTCCCTCAGGCTCCACCACTTTTTACTGTTGTGGCCATTCCAAGTCTCTTCCCTCTTCTAGGCCTCAGTTTCCACATCTATAAAGTAAGGGGATTGGACTAATGTATCTCTAAGGAATCTTGAAGGGCTACATCTCAGATCCAATGACTGCATTTCTCTGGTTGACTCCAAGGTCTTACTAGCCCTTGATCTACCCCACTGGCAGAGTTTGGGGGAGCTCAACCTTCTGGGACAAGTCCTCCTCCTAACCTTCCCATTCCCCTCCCTACCGCATTAGGGGCCAGTTCCAGCCTTGGGCTTGAGGTCTCCTGGCAGTGAGACTGCTGCTTCCTGGGGAACCATCTCATCTACTTGGTTCTACCCAGTCTCTAGATCCAAGGCTTGGGAGTTTCATTATTTTCTTAATCTTCCTTGTCTCTCTTGACTATTTGACAAAGTCTCTTATGTTGCTCTTCCTAGAATCACAGAATCTGAGTTGGAAGAGACCCCAGTAGTCATTTAGTCCAACCTAAGCATAAAAGGAACCTCCACTTTAACGTGCCCAACTAAGTGATTGTGTCTTTGCTTGGAGACCTCCATTTGAGGGAGAGCCCACTAACCCTGGGGACAGCCCACTCTACTTTGGCACAATCCATTGTTAGAAAGTTCTTTCTGGCATCCAGAAGCCTTTGCAACTTCTCTCTCTCTCTCCTTCTTATGACCTCTGAAGACAAGCAGGACCAATCTGATCTCTTTTCCACAGGGCAGCCCTCCAAACACTTGAGGACAGTCAGGTTCCTTTTGTGTCCTCTTCTCCAGCGCGAACATGTCCAATTCCTTTGACTGCTCCACCCTTGATGGGAACTCAATGCCCGTCATCCTGATGGACCTCCTTTGGACACTCCATCCTATCAGTGTCCTTAAATCATCGCACCCAGAAATTAACACAATATACTGGAAACAATGTTAGTGTCTATAGTGTTTTAAGGTTTGCAAAGCATTTTGCACATATTAAATCACTATGGCCTCACAATCCCCACAATTAATTCTATTATTATCACCTCTATTTTGCTGAAGAAGATATAGAGAGGCTAAGTGACTGCTCAGGATCATATAGAGAGAAAACATGTGAGGCAGAATTTGAACTTGGGTCTTCTTTACTCCAAGTCCAATGACCGAACCACCATATTACTTAGATTTATATGCCTCTCTTAATATAGTCCAAGATCACATTAACTATTTGGGCAGGTGTATCACATTGATGACATATACCGAGCTTGTGGCCCATTAGAACCCCTAGATCTTTTTCACATAATTTGTTAACTCTGTCTGCCTCATCTTGTATTCATAGATTTTTAAAAATTAAATTGTGACTGTATTTTGGTTCTCAAATTTCATCTTATTATGTTAAGTCCAATGTTCTGGCCTGTGAAAATCCCCTTGTATCCTAACTGTGCTAGCTTTTCCTTTCAACCTCATGCCATCTGCAAATTTGGTGAACACACCATCTGTGCTTTCATCCAAATGATTGATACACATATTAAATAGCCCGGGGCCAAGCACAGATTTCCTGCAGTATCCCACTGGGAACCTCCTGCCATATTGAACAACTACTCTTTTGAATCCTGCCATCCAACCAGTTCTGAAGCCATCTAATTGTATTATCATGTAGTCCACATCTTTCAATTTTCTGCACCAGACTAACAAGAGATAATATTATTAAAAATTTGGCTGAAAACTAGGTAAATTGTATTCAGAGTATTGCCCTCAACTGCCAGTTTAGTAGTCCTGTCCAAAAAAGAAATGATGTGAACCTAGCATGACCTGCTCTTGTTAAAGCCAGGTAGGCTTTTTGGGATGACTGCTCTCTTTTCTACATGTTTGCCAACCACAAACATCTTCCTAAAAATTAGTGTAGATGTTTTCCCAAGAATTCAGGAGAAGCACACTGGCTTACAATTTGCAGAATTTGTTCTCTTTCTCACCCTACCCCTTTAAAAAAAACCTGGACATGAGCCCCTTTATCTTGTAGTATCTCCCCATTTTTCCACAGTCTTTCAAAGATCACTGACAATGATTCAGCAATCATATTTTCCCATTCTTTTATGACCTGAATACAAAATTTGGCACTCCTGTTAATTGCCTTCATGCCACCTCTTTATTTATTTTGTGCATCATGTCCGTATGAGTCATTTTCATTTTGTCATTGCCTTGGCAAAGGTCATTCTCCTTGGCAAAGAAAACTGAAACAAAGCAAGAACTTCACCTCTGCTGGAAGTCATCATCATCCTATCTACTCAAATCAACAGTTTGGCTCTTCTGGGTTCTTCCTTTTTCTCCCAATAAAGTCAAAAGAGAACCCCTTTTTTGGTCCTTAGATTCCCTTACAAAATCTTAGATCATGCTGAGATTTACTGACACTATTTTAAAAAAATCCCTCACACCATTTTTATAGGACCATGCCAGAGATCTGGCTCTGCTTCTGTCTTTCATACATTTCTTTTTGAATCTAAGGGTTGGGGAATTGCCTGCACGTCCTCAGACATATCCCCCTTTCCTTCCTCATTAGAATTGTTTTCCTTCACAATCTAGAATCAATGACATTCTCCAGTCTTATGTCTTCTCCTCTACACTTCCTATCAACCAAACCTGCTGGCTGCCCTTTTTTCCTGCACACAGGGCCTCATTCCTGCCTCCTCTTTTCTTGGTCTCTGCCTCTATCTCATGTCTAGCAGAGGAGATAAGATGTGTACTCCTGAGCAATAAAACTTTAAGGCCCTGAGGTTTCGTCTGCAATGATGGTTCTCCTTTTGCCAATACAAGCCATAGCTCTCTGTAACTTAGTCAATGGTAGTTATGAATTGGCTGCAGCTGGAAAAGTCTCTGGTGGCCCAGATTCCAGCAAAGAGCACCTTTGAGGTGACCTGGGCTGGTTCTTGGATGACAGGACCACACTCTAAGCCTCTTCAGTTTGGGAGGACATGCCAAGATTTTTGTGTTCTGCTGGCCAGCACTTGGAGAAGTCAGGGTCTCCCCCTAACCTCCCTCACCATGCCAAGAGAAGGCCTCAGAGGAGGACCCTAATGTGGCTTCATTCATAGGGCACTCTATGGCTTACAAGGCCATTGACCAAGGTCATAGAATCACAGAATTTGAGACTCTCAGTTCTAGGATGGAACTCAGGGGCACCTTGTCCACCAATAAGGGCCCCACTTCTACAACATCCCTGCAAAATACCCATCTGGCTACACCAGAAGATCTCCAATGAAGGAAGACTCCCCACCTCCCAAGGCAGTAACCCAGTTTACTTTTCTCAGCTGTAATTGGTACACAGCTAAGAAGAATGAATTCAGAATTTCTACCCAGGTCTTTGAATTCAAACCAAATTTTCTTTCTACTCCTGGTCGCTGCTGGAAGGCCTGGGCCATTTCCCTTCTCTGTATCCTCAGTTCTTAGCAGAGGGTTCTGCATACAGCAGGTAATCGATTCCTATTTGTTCAGTTGAATTGAGTAAGGCCCTGTTCAGTGTCTCCATGTGTCTTTCTTTCCTGAGCCCCCTTGGGCCTAGCTCTGTGCTAAGGAGTGATCAGAGGCACTCAGGGAGCTCTCATTTTGATGGAAATGAGGAGGAAATGTTGAGAGGTCATTTGTGTGATCACAGGCTGAAGCAAGGGGCACAGGCTCTGTGTGACTGAGGGGCTCAGATGACACATGCTGGGGTGCTCGGGGAGGGCTTACACCAAAGATGCACATGCAGGACCTTAAAGGGAGGGTAGGAAGAGGGAAGGAGGAGGAGGGAGGGCATTCTAGGTGGAGGTGGACAAAGAGGCGGAGGAAAGAGATGAGCAAGAGGGAGGGAGGACCAGCAGACAGACCCAGAATTAGGACTGAACACTTGGGCAGGTCCATCACTAGGGATAATGGAGGGTATTCCAGACCTTCCCCTTGTCTCTTCAAACTAGCTGGAAGGTAGATCTGGAGTGTCTGGGGAATCCAAGTGGTAGGGCTGGGGACCTGCTGTACCTGCTCCACACTGACTGCAGCCTCTGGCCTCTGCTCTCTCTCCATTCAGGGAAGACCTGGGGAAAATGACCTACCTTACCATGTGCATCAAGGAGAGTTTCCGCCTATATCCCCCAGTGCCCCAGGTATATCGCCAGCTCAGTAAGCCTGTTACCTTCATGGATGGGAAGTCGCTACCTGAAGGTAGGGTAAGGGTGGCCCTTGAGCCTGGGTGTGGGAGGTGGGAGACCTAGGTAACATTCTGACTACTCAGAAGTTCTTGAGGGTTTGGTCAGGGCCTTCTCTCAAGGTGCCATGTCTGGAGAAATCCCATTCATCTAAACTCCCAGCCAGAAGCTCATCTAACCTAATGCAGGCTAGTTCTCAGGTGCAGCAGGAAATGCACCCAGCAATGATGAACTCTCTGAGTTCTTCTGCTGGCCACAAAGGCAGAGCTCTCCCTTCCAGGGAATATTGACATCTCTGACTCATCTCTCAAGACCCAAATGGCGATGATGAAAATGACAGACATTTATTTATCAACAGATTGGCAAACATTTATTAAGTACCTACAGTGTGCCAGGCACTGTGCTACATGCTTTCAGAGTAGATAAGTGGTCGTAATGTAAGCCTCACACACCAACTCACACAGTGGTAGATCTTTGTAAATTTGGTCATTCCTCTAGTCAAAAATCTTTAGTAGCGTCTGCTTCCTCCCAGATGAGGTTCAAATGCTTCTGCCTGACACCCTCTAACCACGCCATTCCCATTCCTTGATCCCATGGTAGGTCTCTAGGCTTATGTGAGATTACTCACATATGTATATTCTGTGTTGTAGATGTCAATTTCTGTATTACCATTATATCCGAAGCATGCCTTGTGGGGTCTCAGGTGACCCCCATACCAGGACTGGCCTGTCTGGTCCCTTGTGGCTGCCATCAATATTGCCTTCTGTGTGCCATCTGTCCCTGTCTCAAGCCCTAGAAAATGGCGCAGTCTCTATTAAAGTCATTTCCCCCATCCTCTGTCCATCCTTGCCTCAGTCTGAAGTCAGCTCATTGGCTTCTCAAGGCTCATGAGGGTTTGTTCATGTTTTTCTTTTGTTTTTCCTCTTGTTTTATTGCTGCCAAATCCAGGGAGATTGAAATCCTGGCCCTGCAGAGATTTTGGAAGGTTTTCCATCTGTCCTTGTCCTTGAGGTCACATCCTTCATGAAAACCTGATCTGCCACCACAGTGTAGTCCTAATTCCCCCCAGTTTTTCCCCAAGGAAACCCCTGCCACAATTTGTGAGATTTTTTTGGGCCCTGAGGAGTCCAAGGACATCCAGTTACTTCTCACAGAAAACCTTAGACCAGAAGTGGCGAACCTGCAGCCTTGAGGCCACATGTGTCCCTTTAGGTCCTCAAGTGTGACCCTTTGACTGAATCCAAACTTCACAGAACAACCTTGAAGACCAGAGGGCCACATTTAGCCTCGAGGCCACCAGTTCCCCACCCCTACCTAGACCGACCTTCTCCATTCCAATATTTTCAGCTTTGCAGAGGAGAACCCTAGACTGGGAGTCAAGAAATCTGAGTTGGAGTCCCCACAGAGCTGAAGACATCACCAGAATTACTTCCATTCTCAGGGATCAGTTTCCTCATTTGTAAACCAGCATCCTAGTGACTAGATGAGGTTAGCAGTATGCCATAGTGGACAGAAGGCTTACCTTGGAGTCAGAAAGACCTGGGTTCTGGTCCAGTCACTTGACTTCTCAGACTTTTAGTTAGATATGAGTGGCCTATCAGCATCAGTGGAGAGGCTGACCCCACCAGGAGTTCCCTATACCAATGAAATCATAGGACTGTCCTCCTGGAGCATTTCTCTTCCTGTCCCACAGGCAGCCTGGTCTCTCTCCACATCTATGCTCTCCACAGGAACCCAGCGGTGTGGGACAAGCCTGAGGTATCTCTAACCATCACATCTGGGCCAGAGGAGAGCATTCCCAGAGGGGGAGGAGAATGGGAAGGCTCATGTATGTTGGGGGTAGGGAATAACCTGCCCTAAGCAAGCTCAGGAAGCCAGCATGAGGGGCCTGGGTGGAGGAGGATCTGGGGGCTCCTCTTGCTAGGAAAGAGCCCATTAGTTTTCCCTCTCATCTGCTTTTTCTTCTGCCTTCACTGTTTCTGCCTGTACCCCCACCATTCACTTCCTCTCCCAAGCCCCTAACCTTGAAGGTATCTTAGACTCCTCCCTCTCCCTCCTGTCCCCCTCCAATCAGCTCCCAGGGGTCTATTCATTCTTCCACTGTGGCAGATGGATGGATTCTGTCTCTTAAATCCATCCACCTTTCTCTATTTCCACAGCCTTATACAGACTCCTAGGACCATCTGCCTGGGTGAAGACCATTCTAATCCATCTCTTTGTCTAGCCTCATTTCGCCTTATAATCCATTTACTGGAGGGGTAAGGGAAGGATAGTCTTGCTTCTTTGAAGATCTTTGTAAACTAGGGCATTCCTCTAGTCAAAATCTTTAGTAGTTCCTGATTCCTCCCAAGTGAGGTTCAGATGCTTTGGCCTGACACCTTCCAACCACCCAATTCCCATTCCTTGGCACCGTGTTCATTCTCCAAGCTTATGTGAGATTACTCATATGTGTATGTACTGTGTTCTCACCAGCAGATACTGTATTACTATTATGTCCCAAGCATGCCCTGTGTCCCCCAGTCTCTGGGCCTTGGATCCAACTTTGCCTTGTGTCTGGAATTTATTCCATTTTCAGAATCACAGTCTTAGGCTACCAAAGTTACATGAGACATCAGGGGCCTCTGGTCCATCCCCTTGTCAAGGTTCACCAAGGAGGGATTTGATCTCTGGTCTTCCTTCCTTTTGTTGCAGGTGTTTGACCCCCAGCGCTTCTCTCCAGAGAATTCCTCTACCCGTCACCCCTATGCATTCATCCCCTTCTCGGCTAGGCCTAGGTAGGTACTGTCACCTAGCATCTAGGTTGGGTGAGGGAAGCCACATCAATGCTTCAACTACAGTCTCTCAAATATATCCACCTGTCTACTCTCCAGGGCTGACCTGGAGAAATCTGCCTCATTCTCAGCCCACCCTGCACCTCCCACACAGATTGCTTAGTAAAGATGGCTTCCTAGGAGCCTTGGAAGAAAGAGAGCTTGGGCTGCTGAGGGGAGGAGTGTTCTGACCTCAGCACGTAGTTGAGAGTAGGGGAAAGGAAAAGGTTGGGTCTTGCTGTATTTGAGAGGCAGCTAAGAATGCTTCCCATAAAGTCAGGAAGAGCTGAGTTCAAATTCTGCCTCTGATGTCAAGTTTACAACTTGCTTGTCCTGCTCCTGGGCCAGGCTCTATGAGCTTGAGCTTATTTCTAACTCTAGCCATTGAGAAATCCTGGCAAGGATGCTGATTTAGTGTTTCTCTCCTTCTCTGGCTGCAGGAACTGCATTGGGCAGCAGTTTGCCATGACGGAGATGAAAGCAGTCATAGCCATCTGTCTCCTCCACTTTGAGTTTTCTCTAGAGCCCTCGAGGCCAGCCATCAAACGGCTTCAGCTCGTCCTGGGCTCTAAGAATGGCATCTACCTTAACTTGAAGAAGTTGACCTAGGAAGGAGGAGAGCCCAGAGCTGTCTTGTGCATAGTGGGGGATGAGGGTGGGATAGCGGCGTGGTGCTGAAGTACCTTTGCTGCTGCACATTGAACGTGTCCCTGGCCTCCTGGGAGCTTAGAGTCCGGGACAGGAATGACGATAGACACAGATCCTAGCGTGTTGATTTTTCTCTCTACTTGGACACACACATATAGCTATATATGCAAGAAATATCTTCTAATAGTATAGAAACATCTCATATCATACCATATTGTATCAGTTTGCAAGACCTCTTTGAGGTCTGTAGTTTAAACTCTTCATATTACAGGGGAGGAAACTGGGGCTCTGAGTTACCTTGCCTTCCTTCAAAGCCTGGTTCGATGCCACCTCCTCCAGGAAGCCTGTCTCAGTCTCCCCAACTGTTAGCACTTATCTTCTGTAATTTATATTGTGTGATATTATATACACTTAGCAGCTACTTATGAACATTTTTTTTTATTCCTGGGTAGAATGGAAGCTCTTTGAGGGCAGGGCCTGATTCAGCTTTGTCTTTGTACTTCCAGCACCTAGCACAGTGCCTGGCACAAAAGAGAATCCTGATAAATGTTTTTGAAATAAATTAGACAGAGGACAGTGTGGACAAAGGCAGAGAAGCTGGAGAGCCCTGGGCATTTGCAGGGGGCAGGGAGTTCAGTTTAGGTGGAGTTTGGAGGGCAAGGTCTGTCTATGTAAGGCTGGTGTTGGGAGAAGGAATAATAGTAATCAAATTACCTACATTTATGTGTCATTTAAACATTTACAAAGTGTTTTATATAAACCTTACAACAGCACTGTGATGTAGGTGTTATTAGTAGCTCCATTTTACAGATAAGGAAACTGAGGCTGAAAGAGGTTAAAGGCCTTGACCAGGATCACACAGATAACAAGTGTCAGAGGAGGGATTTGAACCTAGGTCTTCCTGACTCCTTGGGGCATCTAGGTGGTACAGTGGATAGAAGGCTGGGCCTGGAGTCAGGAAGACCTGAATTCAAATCCAGCCCTGGACACTTAATAGCTGTGTAACCCTGGGCAAGTCACTTTATCCTGTTTGCCTCAGTTTCCTCATCTGTAAAATGTGCTGAAGAAGGAAATGACAAACCACTTCAACATGTTTGCCAAGAAAACCCCAAATGGGGTCACAAAGAGTTGAACATAACTGAAAAATGACTAAACAAACAACTTCCTGACTCCAGGTCTGTAAAGGCAAGCTGGTATCAAATTTTGGAAGTCCTGGAATATCAGGAAAAAGAGTTTGAACTTTGTACAAATGGTAACAGGGAGCCCCTGAAGATCTTTGAGCAGAGGATCCTGCTTTTTCCTAAACCTGTGCATTAGAAAGACTAGATCGATGAAGAATGGATGGGGGAGGGGAGGGACTTGTTAGGACACCTGATCAGTGATGATGAGGATTGGGCTCAGGTAGTGGCCACAGGAATTGGGAGGAGAGAATCAACGTGAAGGATGTGGAGGTGTAACTGATGGGACTTGATAACTTGGTGAATATAAAATGTGAGGGACACGAGAATGGAAGACTCCTCCAGGTTTGACTGTGGGAGGATGGGTGACCAGTGAAATGAGGAAGTCAGTGAGAAGAGGTTTCAGGTGGAAAAGGATGAGCTTGCTTTGGGTATGTTGGGTTTATGGGCTAGCCAAGTGGAAAAGGAACATAAGCCAGGAGGAATCCCCACAGTGAGGAGCTGGGGAAAGGGAAAGGAGCCAGTATCAGAAACAGAGAAGGAGAGATCAGATAAGTGGGGTGTCTCTGGAACTAAGGAAAGAGATGAACTAAAGGAAGCAGCCAGGTGGCACATTGGCCAAAGTGTTGGACATGGGGTCAGGAAGACTTGGTTTGAAATCCTGTCCCAGATACTTTACTAGTTGACCCTGAGCAAGTCATTTCCCTTTTTTGCATTTCAGTGTCAACTCTAGATAAATAACAGTAACAAGAATCCTAATGCAGCTCGAGATGGTAAAGTTCAGATAACACAATGCATTGAAGGGAATGGAGGAAGTGAGGCGAGTGGGGCTGTTTTTCAGGGAATTGCTATTAGCTACCTCTCTTTTTTTCTTTCCACCCTCCCCAAAGAGACACCCTAACCACATACACACACACACACACACACACACATACACACACACACACACACACACACACACACACACACATCACACTGCAAGAAGAGAACTGATCAGTTGAGACAAGGTCTGTGGCTGTTCAGCCAATTCCGGATGCCACTGTTCGCATGTCAGACTCTAACTTCTATGTGTTCAGTTGTAAGGTCCTTTGCTGGCAAAGTTGTACAGTGTTTGGAGTCAGGCAACACCTGGGTCTGAATCACACCTCAGACAGCTACTAAAGGCATTTAGCATTGTCCCTCCCAGCTATTACATTCTAGCTTCTAAAATCTCTCCCACCTCTCACATTCTGGAAGATCCCTCCCACCTCTGACATTCTAGGTTCTAAGATCCTCCCATGTCTGACCTTCTAGATTCTGATATCCCTCCAACCTCTGACATTCTAGGTTCTAGATCCCTTCCACCTCTCACATTCTGGGTTCTAAGATTCATCCTTGCTCTTACATTGTAGTTTCTAAGATCTCCCCATCTCTCACATTCTGGATTCTAAGATCCCTCCTTGCTCTCACATTCTAGGTTCTAAGATCCCTCCCACCTCTCACATTCTAGTTCATAAGATCTCTCCCACCTCTCACATTCTGGGTTCTAAAATCCCTCCCACCTCTGACATTCTAGGTTCTAAGATCCCTCCTTGCTCTCACATTCTGGGTTCTAAGATCCCTCCCACCTCTCACATTCTGGGATTTAAGATCCTTGTTACCCTCTCCCCCCTAGCTCTCACATTCTCTTTTTTATTTTCTGAGGCTCTGAAGAGTCAGATCTTTTCTTGTCCCTGCCCAGGCCTTCAGCTTCTCTCTTTTGTGTTGTCTTCCTTCATTAGAATGTAAGCTCCTTGAGGGCTCCTATTTGTATCCCCAGCATTTAGCATTGTGCCAGACAGAAAGCAAGGCTGGTGAAAACACATGCCTTATTGATCTATCTAGCTAGATGTCCTGCCTACAAGTGTTCCACCTGGGATCATAGATTTAGATGGTTTCTCAGTTTTTAGTCCAGTTCTGTCCTTTTTCAGGTAAGAAAACTGAGGTGCAGGATAGTTAAGCTACTTGCCCAAGATCACACAACCAGTAGTAATAGCATTCACACACCACTTTAAGGCTGTTTCAGCTTACATGTTCCCTACAACCCTGTGAGGTAGATGCTATTATTATCCCCATTTCACAAATGAGGAAACTGAGGTTCAGAGAGGCTAGTGACTGGCCCAGGAGTCACACAGTTGGCAGGTTCCAGCTCTAGCACTCTATCCACTGTGCCATCTAGCTGCTCTGAGGCAGGATTTGAACTCAAGTCCTTTGCCAACAGACCCATGACTCCTTCCAGCAGGGGCCCATTACTTGCTGTAGTAATCAGTTTTTGAAATTCCTTTTTGTGCCTGAAATCTCTTTGCATTCCATTCCTCCCTATAACTCACTTCTTCTAGCCCTAAAAGGGCTTGATGAGGATGAAAACATCCTTGTCATTACTTCCAGTCCTTCCACACTCAGTACTCATCATTGCTTTTGCTCTGGCTTCCTTTTCCTCTCTTCCCAATCTTCATACTCTATCTAGAGTTCAACCCTATATCCTTCTCTCCTCTTTTCATCCTTTGCCCCCTTGTCCTGTAACTAATTGGTGGCTCATGCCTGCATGACATTCACCATCTGCCCTCTCTGCACCTGTTCTTGAATGGAGCAGGACAAAATCATGCAGTCAAGCTGCCTGGGTCTGCAACAAACTTATATTGTCTAATCTCAAGAGGTTTCATGGTATAATGGATAAAAAGCAAGAGAGCTCTGAAATATACTGGCTGTGTGACCCTAAGCAAGTCCCCTTGAGTGCCACAAGCAGCCTTCAGAGACTGTTCATAACAAAGCAGGTGCTGAACTGCATGGGAAGGGGGGCTCTGCTTGCCAGTGGAGTCACAAATCTGGGAGAACAAAACCTCATCTTGGCTCTAACTGCAACAACATTATCCTTTTATACCTCTAGAAATGATTCCCATCTTCCTGAGATAATTCCAAGCCTTCTCTTCTCTCCTCAAGCCTTCCACCATCTCACTCCTTTTCAGCAGAAGACCTGGCATCATAAGTGACTGAGAAAACAAAGACATTTGCTAGTGAGCTCCCTCTTCTTCCCTCCTCTACATCTCAAGACCTCTTCATCATCCCATGATCTCTTCTCCTTTATTCTGGTCTCTGGTGAGGAGATGGCCCTTCTCAAAAGGCCAACTTTACCATCCCTCTCTCATTTCCTTGATTCCATCCCTCTCTTGTAGCCTCTGGGAGATGGTTCTCACATTCCTTCTGTTTGTTTAATCTTTAGTCTCTCCAAATCTTCTGGCTCCCTCCCTACAGCCTGTAAATATATCTGCTTCCCTTGTCTTTTCTTAAAGAAAAGACACTTAATCTTCTCATTCCTTAAAGCTGTGACCCTAAACCTGTCCTTCCTTTCACGACAAATTGTCTGGCTCCATTTCCTCTTCTCTCATTAACTTCTCCATCTTCCACAGTCTGGTTTCTGACCTCATTACTCAATTGAAACTGCCCTCTCCTGGCATGATGATCCCTTAACTGCCAAAGCTAACAGACTTTCTGAATCCTCCTCCTTTGTGGCTTCTCTGTGGAATTTGACATTATGGACTAATCTCTCCTTTGGGTACTCTCTTCTCTCTGCATTTTAGCCATATTGATCTCTCTCTCTCTCTCTCTCTCTCTCTCTCTCTCTCTCTCTGTCTCTTTCTGTCTCTGTCTCTCCCTGTCTCTCTCTCTGTCTCTGTCTGTCTCTGTTTCTCTGTCTGTCTGTCTCTCTTCTTTCTTCTCCTTATCTAGCTGCTCTTTCTCATTCCCTTTTGCTGGATTATCACCCATCTTCTGTCTCTAAACTCTTGTTCTCTCAGTCATAGAAAAAATGAATCTTAGAAATACGGATAAACCTGCCCGTCTCAAAGGTCAGTTTCCTCCCAACTGTCTTTGTTCTTTGTGGGCATGGGCAAAATCAGGTTGCATTCTGTAGCCACTGTCCCCAAAGCTTCATTCTTACCCAATAGAGCTCCTCAGTTGCCAAGATTGTTGTTTATGTCTCCACAACTTCTTTGACCTCTGGCTTCTCCTGTCCACTCATTCAGCTGCCACAGCAATTCAGGCCCCAATCAATCCTCACCAGGAATATGGCAACAGCCTCTCACTTGGTCTCCTCTCATTTTCCTTCCATCTTCAAACCAGTCCTCCATACAACTGCCAAAAGTGATTTTCCTCCAGCACAGATGTGGCCATATCACCCCATTTCTCAAACTCTAGTGGCTCCATATCACATCCAGGATCAAAGTTAAGAAATCTTCTGTTGACGTCTAAGATGCTTCACACACTGGCTTCAGCCTACCTTTCCAGATGGATTGCACATCACTCTCCTCCCCTAAAATAGTTGGCAGAGCAACTCTGGTTTAGACACAGCATCCTGAGGCCCTGTTGGGCTGATTGACACAGTATGCTCAGGAAATGGTTTATCCTAAATATAAAGCACCAAACTTCTATCTCCTTCTTGGCTTGGTCCTGACAGCCCTTGTTAGCAGCACCTCCAACCTAAGAACGCCTAATAGGGGTGGGATTCCTGGGATATCTGTGTTGAAGAAGAAGGCAGCAGCTACTGAGACTGGCCAAAGATGACTCATTCTTCTGCCCTGCCCTGCCCAGTCAGGGCCATGAGTTGAAGAGCATTTCATGGACTTAACTTCCAGGGGCACCTGAGCTGCCCAAGT